CTAGGGCAAAAACAATGAAAATCTGTGATCACTTTATTTCCTACTAAAATTCGATTTTTTGGGTGAAAACATAAAAGTCCATTTTCTGGCTAAACTATAGGCCCTAGGGCTAAAACAGTGAAAATCTGTGATCACTTTTATTTCCTACCAAAATTCGATATTTTTGTGTGAAAACATAAAAGTCCATATTCTGGCTAAACTATAGGCTCTAGGGCAAAAACAATGAAAATCTGTGATCACTTTTATTTCCTACTAAAATTCGATTTTTTTTGGGTAAAAACATAAAAGTCCATTTTCTGGCTAAACTATAGGCCCTAGGGCTAAAACAGCGAAAATCTGTGATCACTTTTATTTTCTACCAAAATTCGATTTTTTTGGGTGAAAACATAAAAGTCCATTTTCTGGCTAAACTATAGGCTCTAGGGCTAAAACAGTGAAAACCTGTGATCACTTTTATTTCATACCAAAATTCGATTTTTTTGGGTGAAAACATAAAAGTCCATTTTCTGGCTAAACTATAGGCTCTAGGGCTAAAACAGTGAAAACCTGTGATCACTTTTATTTCCTAACAAAATTCGATTTTTTTTGGGTGAAAACATAAAAGTCCATTTTCTGGCTAAACTATAGGCCCTAGGGCTAAAACGTGAAAATCTGTGATCACTTTTATTTCCTACCAATATTCGATTTTTTGAGTGAAAACATAAAAGTCCATTTTCTGGCTAAACTATAGGCCCTAGGGCTGAAAGAATGAAAATCTGTGATCACTTTTATTTCCTACCAAAAACCGATTTTTTGGGTGAAAACATAAAAGTCCATTTTCTGGCTAAACTATAGGCCCTAGGGCAAAAACAATGAAAATCTGTGATCACTTTTATTTCATACCAAAAACCTGTGATCACTTTTATTTCCTACCAAAATTGGATTTTTTGAGTGAAAACATAAAAGTCCATTTTCTGGCTAAACTATAGGCCCTAAGGCAAAAACAATGAAAATCTGTGATCACTTTTATTTCCTAACAAAATTCGATTTTTTGGGTGAAAACATAAAAGTCCATTTTCTGGCTTAACTATAGGCCCTAGGGCTAAAAGAATGAAAGTCTGTGATCACTTTTATTTCATACCAAAATTCGATTTTTTGGGTGAAAACATAAAAGTCCATTTTCTGGCTAAACTAAGCCCGTAGGGCTGAAACAGTGAAAATCTGTGATCACTTTTATTTCCTACCAAAATTGGATTTTTTGAGTGAAAACATAAAAGTCCATTTTCTGGCTAAACTATAGGCCCTAGGGCAAAAACAATGAAAATCTGTGATCACTTTTATTTCCTAACAAAATTCGGTTTTTTTGGGTGAAAACATAAAAGTCCATTTTCTGGCTAAACTATAGGCCCTAGGACTAAAACAATGAAAATCTGTGATCACTTTTATTTCCAACCAAAATTGGATTTTTTGAGTGAAAACATAAAAGTCCATTTTCTGGCTAAACTATAGGTCCTAGGGCAAAAACAATAAAAATTTGTGATCACTTTTATTTCCTACCAAAATTCCTACCAAAATTGGATTTTTTGAGTGAAAACATAGTCCATTTTCTGGCTAAACTACAGGCCCTAGGGCTAAAACAGTGAAATTCTGTGATCACTTTTATTTCCTACCAAAATTCGATTTTTTGGGTGAAAACATAAAAGTCCATTTTCTGGCTAATCTATAGGCCCTAGGGCAAAAACAATGAAAATCTGTGATCACTTTTATTTCCTACCAGAAATCGATTTTTCGGATGAAACATAAAATTCCATTTTCTGGCTAAACTATAGGCCCTAGGGCTAAAACAGTGAAAATCTGTGATCACTTTTATTTCCTACCAAAAACCGATTTTTTGGGTGAAAACATAAAAGTCCATTTTCTGGCTAAACTATAGGCCCTAGGGCTAAAACAATGAAAATCTGTGATCACTTTTATTTCCTACCAAATTTCGATTTTTTGAGTGAAAACATAAAAGTCCATTTTCTGGCTAAACTACAGGCCCTAGGGCTAAAACAGTGAAAATCTGTGATCACTTTTATTTCCTAACAAAATTCGATTTTTTGAAAGAAAACATAAAAGTCCATTTTCTGGCAAAACTATAGGTCCTAGGGCAAAAACAATAAAAATTTGTGATCACTTTTATTTCCTACCAAAATTGGATTTTTTGAGTGAAAACATAAAAGTCCATTTTCTGGCTAAACTATAGGCCCTAGGGCTAAAACAGTGAAAATCTGTGATCACTTTTATTTCCTAACAAAATTCGATTTTTTGGGTGAAACATAAAAGTCCATTTTCTGGCTAAACTATAGGCCCTAGGGCAAAAACAATGAAAATCTGTGATCACTTTTATTTCCTAACAAAATTCGGTTTTTTGGGTGAAAACATAAAAGTCCATTTTCTGGCTAAACTATAGCCTAGGGCTAAAACAATGAAAATCTGTCATCACTTTTATTTCCTAACAAAATTCGGTTTTTTGGGTGAAAACATAAAAGTCCATTTTCTGGCTAAACTATAGGCCCTAGGGCTAAAACAGTGATCCATTTTCTGGCTAAACTATAGGTCCTAGGGCAAAAACAATAAACATTTGTGATCACTTTTATTTCCTACCAAAATTCCTACCAAAATTGGATTTTTTGAGTGAAAACATAAAAGTCCATTTTCTAGCTTAACTATAGGTCCTAGGGCAAAAACAATGAAAATCTGTGATCACATTTATTTCCTACCAAAATTCGATTTTTTGAGTGAAAACATAAAAGTCCATTTTCTGGCTAAACTACAGGCCCTAGGGCTAAAACAGTGAAATTCTGTGATCACTTTTATTTCCTAACAAAATTCGATTTTTTGGGTGAAAACATAAAAGTCCATTTTCTGGCTAAACTATAGGCCCTAGGGCTAAAACAGTGAAAATCTGTGATCACTTTTATTTCCTACCAAAATTCGATTTTTTGAGTGAAAACATAAAAGTTCATTTTCTGGCTAAACTATAGGCCCTAGGGCTGAAAGAATGAAAATCTGTGATCACTTTTATTTCCTACCAAAATTCGATTTTTTGGGTGAAAACATAAAAGTCCATTTTCTGGCTAAACTATAGCCGGTAGGGCTAAAACAGTGAAATCTGTGATCACTTTTATTTCCTACCAAAATTCGATTTTTTGAGTGAAAACATAAAAGTCCATTTTCTGGCTAAACTATAGGCCCTAGGGCTGAAAGAATGAAAATCTGTGATCACTTTTATTTCCTACCAAAATTCGATTTTTTGGGTGAAAACATAAAAGTCCATTTCTGGCTAAACTATAGGCCCTAGGGCTAAAACGTGAAAATCTGTGATCACTTTTATTTCCTACCAAAATTCGATTTTTTGAGTGAAAACATAAAAGTCCATTTTCTGGCTAAACTATAGGCCCTAGGGCAAAAACAATGAAAAACTGTGATCACTTTTATTTCCTACCAGAAACCGATTTTTCGGATGAAACATAAAAGTCCATTTTCTGGCTAAACTATAGGCCCTAGGGCTAAAACAGTGAAAATCTGTGATCACTTTTTTTTCCTACCAAAATTCGGTTTTTTGGGTGAAGACATAAAAGTCCATTTTCTGGCTAAACTATAGGCGGTAGGGCTAAAACAGTAAAAATCTGTGATCACTTTTATTTCCTACCAAAAACCGATTTTTTGGGTGAAGACATAAAAGTCCATTTTCTGGCTAAACTATATGCCGTAGGGCTAAAACAGTGAAAATCTGTGATCACTTTTATTTCCTAACAAAATTCGATTTTTTGAGTGAAAACATAAAAGTCCATTTTCTGGCCAAACTATAGGCGGTAGGGCTACAACAGTGAAAATCTGTGATCACTTTTACTTCCTACCAAAAACCGATTTTTTGGGTGAAAACATAAAAGTCCATTTTCTGGCCAAACTATAGGCGGTAGGGCTAAAACAGTGAAAATCTGTGATCACTTTTACTTTCTACCAAAACCGATTTTTTGAGTGAAAACATAAAAGTCCATTTTCTGGCTAAACTATAGGCCCTAGGGCTGAAAGAATGAAAATCTGTGATCACTTTTATTTCCTACCAAAGTTCGATTTTTTGGGTGAAAACATAAAAGTCCATTTTCTGGCTAAACTATAGGCGGTAGGGCTAAAACAGTGAAAATCTGTGATCACTTTTATTTCCTACCAAAACCGGTTTTTTGGGTGAAAACATAAAAGTCCATTTTCTGGCTAAACTATAGGCCCTAGGGCTGAAAGAATGAAAATCTGTGATCACTTTTATTTTCTACCAAAATTCGATTTTTTGGGTGAAAACATAAAAGTCCATTTTCTGGCTAAACTATAGGCCCTAGGGCTAAAACAGTGAAATCTGTGATCACTTTTATTTCCTACCAAAAACCGATTTTTTGGGTGAAAACATAAAAGTCCATTTTCTAGCTAGGGCTGAAAGAACGAAAATCTGTGATCACTTTTATTTCCTACCAAAGTTCGAGACTATAGGCCCTAGGATGAAAACGATGAAAATCTGCGATCACTTTTATTACCCACTAAAATTCGAAGTTTTGAGTGACATTTAAAATTACAAATGTATTTTTCCAGTGTAAATTTCTTACAAAGTTGCCAGTCAATTTTAATTTATCTAAATGTATATTTCAATAAGGCAACGCCAACTAGTAACCATTAACGTATTTTTCGGATATTTTAACCAAACACAGCTTTTTGGTTTATTGTTGTTTTTCTTTTCTCACATTTCTGTTTCAAACCACAACTGTCAAAGTTAACTTAAGTACCAACATAAAAGTAAAACGTAAACAAAACAAAAGATACACACACACACCAGAAACCAACCGAAAGTATTTGTATCTAAAGCTCGCTCTCACACATTTTGTTACACACAGATACGAAAGTTATAAACACAATGACTGACAGAGTATTAGTGTGTACATTAGATACCAAGCAAAAATTGTTGCTTTGACTGTCAGTTGAGAGCAGCTTTTCTCAGAAGTTAAACGACTGTAAGCTTGAGCGGTTGAAATTTGTTTATTATCGGTTTACGTTATAGAATTTTTTTGTTAACATGGTCGATATACAGTGTTAACTTGTTGAATATAGTATTTTGTTGTTGTTTTCTTGTTAATAGTGGTGCTGCGGGTCTCGGTGTTAGTGTGTCCGTGTATAGAAAAAAAGTCAGTAAGCTGACCGCGCCTAAGTTTAAAGAAAAGTTAATAATTTTAATAGAAAAATCTAATATTTAAGATAAAATTTATAAAAAACTTAAAGTTTGAAGGGTAAAGTAATGAAATTAAGTGAAAAACGTGAGAATTTTAAGAGAAATTCAAGAAAATTGTTACTTTAAAAAATTAATAAAATAGAAGAAAATTGTCAAGGTAGTGGTAAAAACAAAAGAAAAAGCTTGTTAGTGTATGAGTATTTAAGCATTTATTAACAAATTGTTATGGGCTTTTATCGGTTAATGATGATGTTTAAAAAGAATTGGAAAAAAAGTAAAGAAATATAATAAAACTAAAGAATCATGTTTAAATAAAAGAAAATAAGAGAAAAAGTGAATTTATAAAATAAAGAAAAATCTATGTATGTCGTGTTAATTTAAGGATTATTATAACAAAAAAAGTGTTAACAAGTTGTTATTTTTATAATATCCCTTAGTTTTATGGGCTATTTGGTTAAGAAACCTGTTGGCAACTTTGTCTATATTACACTTGAAAACAAACAAAAACTCAAAACACCACCATCGCACCTACACTTTGTTATGTGTTGTGTGTTTGCATTATGGATTAATCATACCAAACCTGGAACAACTTTACACTACAAAAACAACTATTGTATTAATTAAAAACTATATTTATTAATAATATTACACTGCGAATGAAAGACTATGTATTATTAAATCTAATGTTAGTGTAGTAACTCCCATCATAATATCTTTTTTTTTTGGGAACGCTTAGCTGCACATTAAGAACATTGCGCTTTATAAATTGCAGTTTATCGGTTGGAACTAAATGCAATATAGTGGTGGTTGGTTGGCTGGTTGATTCAGTGGCTGGTTGAATGCTGCTCAGATTTTCTATGAATGAACGTATGCCTGTTTAGTTAAATGTTTGGTTGGTTAGTGGCTTGTGTTTAATGTATGCGTGCGTTTTGTATCTGTGTTGACAATTTGTTTTTTTTTTTTTTTGCTTTTTCTACTTCATACACATGGCTAATAACCTAGACCACTTAAAAATGGTGAAAAAGAGAGTCTGTAAATTGCAGCATGCACATTTTCACATTCAAGTTCAAAACATGTTGTATTTTGACCATATTTTGTGGTCAGTTTTTGTATACAAAAAATTTAACCTCAATAAACAGATTATACCCTACATCACCATAGTGGGAAGGGTATTAGGCGTTTGTACGGATGTTTGTAACGCACAAAAATATTGTTACTACAACCAACTTAAAGTACACCAATCGAATCAGGAGCACTTTCTGAGTCCGTCCATCCATCCGTCCGTCTGGCTGTTCATGTAAACCTTGTGCTCTAGATAGAGGTCTCAAATTTGAAGATATTTTAATGAAATTTGGACCAATCGTGTTTTTCGACAATAAACGAAGACTTTGGCTGAAATCGGTACATTATTCCATCTAACTACCATACAATCGGTCCTTCCGATTTAGCCTTTTTAGTTCATAACTACGAATATATATTAGTACACAGGGAGAAAAAAATATACACGCTTGGTACCAAATTGACAAACAAATTGTTTTATCTTGACATCCGTTGTCAAGTATAAACATACATGTTGTATGTATGGTCAACATGTAATGTTGACCACGCAACATTATCAACATTGCAACAATTCGTTGTCGCAATCTAAATTTTATGCACATCCGCTGTCTAAAAGTTAGCAAACGTGGTAAGCTTACTATTGACAACGGATTTAGAGCTTAACACATTTGTTAACTTTAAGACAACGGATAGTCGTAGTAAGCTTAGATTGTGACAACGTATTCTTGCAATGTTGACAACGTTGCTTGGTCAACATTACTTGTTGTTGTTGTGTGTTTGTATTTATATACTTGAGAATGGATATTATTGAAAATTTGGTGCCAATTTGGTACCAGATGTATATTTTTTTCTCTCTCTCTGCGTATCTCTTCTGAAATCGGCACAACTTTAATATATATAAAACTAAAAGACACTAACGATTTTTGTAACGATTAGCCTTTATTTGAACCTGGAAAATGTTTTAAACGTTCATAAATGACTTTAATCATTAATTCCGCGATAAAATTCAAATCAAGTTTTGTATATAAATTTCATGACGATTGGTCCATATTTCACCTCTAACTTTTCTTTTAGAAAATTAGTTTTTCATCAAGAAATTTCTTTAAAGTAAAATTTAACAATGTTTTTATTATAATTTTTTTTAATTTTCTGTTGTAGTGCATCATATCGTCGACCATGACCGACTATACTCTTCTGCTTCTATTAAAATGTGTCAGTTTGTAAGCAGATGTAAGCAAAGATGTTGTTTTTTTGGAGAAAATAACCAGAATAATTATTTGTTTAAACTAAATTTTGTACAGTTTTTCTGCTCTTAAAAAACTGATAACATAAAATGTCATAGACATTGAATTTGGGTCCCAAAACTATATTTAAAACCAGACTTGAACTAGAATATTTAAATTTTCTGCACTACGAAACCGGTTTCTCATACATCAAATCATTACATTCAGTATTTTTAAAGACATGTCATCATTTACCTGGTGTTTCTATTATTCAGTATAATTTCATTGATTTGAAATCATTAGGAGATTAAAAAAGTATTAGAAAAAGTAATTTATTCCTTTTTAATAGTTTCACAGAGGTACCAAGAACCCCCTTATGAAAGTCCGCCCATTTTTATACTAAATTTTCACATGGATGTTAAAAGTCTTTGTGTTAAATTTTAAGATTCTATCTCAAATAGTTTATCAGATAAACGAATTTTAAAATTTAATTCATATGGGAGGTGTCACGCCTCCTACTTCTAGTTCGCTAATTTTATGTTATGTTGGTACTATAGTGTCTCCGTTAAAAATAAGGACTCTAACTGTTATATTTCCTCAGATATATCAATTTAAGAGGTTTTTTTATATGGGAGGTGCCACGCCCACTGTAGCTGCCCATTTTATTCCCATGTATTCATATTGATGTCAAAGTTGTCCATACCAAATTTTAGAACTCTAGCTCTTGCAGTGTCTGAGATATGCGACTTTTAATTATTTTGTATGTGGGCGTGGCACGTCCCTCACTTGATATTTTGAAATTAAATTGTAGCTTTTAGTTCGTTCCAGACATACAGGAAGACACTGAGAAAATTTCAGAAAAATGGGTCCGTTTAGATGTCTATAAAGTCCAAACAAACATACATAGAAACACACATTCATTTATATATATAGATATATGATTCTAAAGACTTCTTGAAATCAGTTCTTTAAAACTAGTTTTACACTGATTAATACAAAAGGACAGACAGACAAATTGATCAATAAGTCAAATCTATCTAAAAAGTGATTAAGGGTGAAACAATAACTTGGCTTACAAAAAAAAAAAATTCTTCAAAAATCTACCTAACCTTACTGTAGAGTACAAAAAAGAACATAAAAACTTCTAAGATACAAAACAGTTCATCTTATTTATTTTATTTTTCTTGTTTTTTTTTTTTTGTCTAAATCATTTATTCGTTTTTGTTGTTGCTTACACATCTATACAATTCATTCATAAAAAAATTGTTTTGTTTTTTATTTTTGTTTTATTATCGTCACTTTAGTGACTAATACTTAAATGATGATTATTATGAAGTATTAAATAATTTTAAAACTAAAAGAAATTGTTTTTCTACTTTTTAAGTAATTTGTCTGGCTTCGACAGTTTCATTTTTATTGTCTTTTTAAGTGCAATTATCAATTAACCTTGACAATTTGTATTGGAGAGACAGACACAGGGTTACTTTAATTTGTTGAGGGTTGCTACAGAACTTTTGGCACAAGATCAAAGTTATTAGACAAACTTTATTAAATAATTTAGTATTATTATTAACTATTGAAAAAAAAGAAAAAAAGCTAAATTTTTTAAACTTTTTGGTATCAATTATTTTAAAATATGATTTTTTTTTTCATTACCTTTTAGCTTTATCAATATTTTATAGCTACATTTTAAATATTTATCATTTAAAAGTTCAAAAACCTAATAAATTCACTACAAAAACACATGCTCAAACAATGACTTTTTTTCAAATGCATTTTCTCATATGATATCCATACATACCCACAACAAAAGTGAATAATAGTGTGCGCTGCGCGTTGAAATGCATATTTGGTAACAAAAAATACCAACATGTTTTGACGCGCTCTGCCTGTTGTCTATCCGTCTATCAGCTCATTAATATTCAATAATTTACAGTTATTTTGTATGCATTACTCTCTTTGTTTTGAGAAAAGAAAAATAACAGTTACAAGAGAGTTTTTTACACTCTTTTTCATTATTTATTGAGCAATAATAATAAATACAATCTATGAAAAATATGGTTACTAATTTTAAGTAATCATTTTTGAATGGAAAATATTATTATGTTTACTCTCAAGAGAATACTCGTTTTAAAAATACTTAAAAACAATACTTTACCGAATTTTGTCAAATATTTGTTAATCGATTCTAAAAACAATTTCTCAATTATTTTTTAAATATTTTGTAAACACCGTGATGTTGGTCAAACACGGTGTTGCCAAAGCAACCATAAATCATTTATATACCTCAATTATTGGGGCACTTAGGACTACTAAATGCTAAACTACCCTGTACATGTATAAGCTTTTTAAAAGAGTTTTGGGTCTTAAATTGGATTTCGAAAGAAAACTTATTTATGTCGAATTTTACCACACTACGATATACGTACATATTCGAAGGTCTCTGGGGGGTATCCATAAACTTCTAAAGAGTTTGGTAGATGGATTTGTTATGAAACAAATCCATATTATGTTAGAGTTTACATTAATGCCGATATATAAATATGAACGTTTTATTGACATTAAGTAGAAGGATTTATATTTATATAGAATTTCTTAATGGAAGGAAATTAGGGCCTGATCCAGTATTATGAGTATTGACCGATATCTCTAAAATATATTTATATGTATATAAGTAGATAGATGAAATCATGAACCAATTTCGACTATTTTCAAACTTTTAAAACCCTGTTTCTCGATTTGGAAAGAATAGTTCGTTTTAGTTAGTTATTGCTAGTTAGTTAGTTAGTTAGTTAGTAGTTAGTTAGTTAGTTAGTAGTTAGTTATTGTAGTTAGTTAGTTAGTAGTTAGTTAGTTAGTTAGTTAGTAGTTAGTTAGTTAGTAGTTAGTTAGTTAGTTAGTTAGTTAGTTAGTTAGTTAGTTAGTTAGTTAGTTAGTTAGTTAGTTAGTTAGTTAGTTAGTTAGTTAGTTAGTTAGTTAGTTAGTTAGTTAGTTAGTTAGTTAGTTAGTTAGTTAGTTAGTTAGTTAGTTAGTTAGTTAGTTAGTTAGTTAGTTAGTTAGTTAGTTAGTTAGTTAGTTAGTTAGTTAGTTAGTTAGTTAGTTAGTTAGTTAGTAGTTAGTTAGTTAGTTAGTTAGTTAGTTAGTTAGTTAGTAGTTAGTTAGTTAGTTAGTTAGTTAGTTAGTTAGTTAGTTAGTTAGTTAGTTAGTTAGTTAGTTAGTTAGTTAGTTAGTTAGTTAGTTAGTTAGTTAGTTAGTTAGTTAGTTAGTTAGTTAGTTAGTTAGTTAGTTAGTTAGTTAGTTAGTTAGTTAGTTAGTTAGTTAGTTAGTTAGTTAGTTAGTTAGTTAGTTAGTTAGTTAGTTAGTTAGTTAGTTAGTTAGTTAGTTAGTTAGTTAGTTAGTTAGTTAGTTAGTTAGTTAGTTAGTTAGTTAGTTAGTTAGTTAGTTAGTTAGTTAGTTAGTTAGTTAGTTAGTTAGTTAGTTAGTTAGTTAGTTAGTTAGTTAGTTAGTTAGTTAGTTAGTTAGTTAGTTAGTTAGTTAGTTAGTTAGTTAGTTAGTTAGTTAGTTAGTTAGTTAGTTAGTTAGTTAGTTAGTTAGTTAGTTAGTTAGTTAGTAGTTAGTTAGTTAGTTAGTTAGTTAGTTAGTTAGTTAGTTAGTTAGTTAGTTAGTTAGTTAGTTAGTTAGTTAGTTAGTTAGTTAGTTAGTTAGTTAGTTAGTTAGTTAGTTAGTTAGTTAGTTAGTTAGTTAGTTAGTTAGTTAGTTAGTTAGTTAGTTAGTTAGTTAGTTAGTTAGTTAGTTAGTTAGTTAGTTAGTTAGTTAGTTAGTTAGTTAGTTAGTTAGTTAGTTAGTTAGTTAGTTAGTTAGTTAGTAGTTAGTAGTTAGTTAGTTAGTTAGTTAGTTAGTTAGTTAGTTAGTTAGTTAGTAGTTAGTTAGTTAGTTAGTTAGTTAGTTAGTTAGTTAGTTAGTAGTTAGTTAGTTAGTTAGTTAGTAGTTAGTTAGTTAGTTAGTTAGTTAGTTAGTTAGTTAGTTAGTTAGTTAGTTAGTTAGTTAGTTAGTTAGTTAGTTAGTTAGTTAGTAGTAGTAGTTAGTTAGTTAGTAGTTAGTTAGTTAGTTAGTTAGTTAGTTAGTTAGTTAGTTAGTTAGTAGTTAGTTAGTTAGTTAGTTAGTTAGTTAGTTAGTTAGTTAGTTAGTTAGTTAGTTAGTTAGTTAGTTAGTTAGTTAGTTAGTTAGTTAGTTAGTTAGTTAGTTAGTTAGTTAGTTAGTAGTTAGTTAGTTAGTTAGTTAGTTAGTTAGTTAGTTAGTTAGTTAGTTAGTTAGTTAGTTAGTTAGTTAGTAGTTAGTTAGTTAGTTAGTTAGTTAGTTAGTTAGTTAGTTAGTTAGTTAGTTAGTTAGTTAGTTAGTTAGTTAGTTAGTTAGTTAGTTAGTTAGTTAGTTAGTTAGTTAGTTAGTTAGTTAGTTAGTTAGTTAGTTAGTTAGTTAGTTAGTTAGTTAGTTAGTTAGTTAGTTAGTTAGTAGTTAGTTAGTTAGTAGTTAGTTAGTTAGTTAGTTAGTTAGTTAGTAGTTAGTTAGTTAGTTAGTTAGTTAGTTAGTAGTTAGTTAGTTAGTTAGTTAGTTAGTTAGTTAGTTAGTTAGTTAGTTAGTTAGTTAGTTAGTTAGTTAGTTAGTTAGTTAGTTAGTTAGTTAGTTAGTTAGTTAGTTAGTTAGTTAGTTAGTTAGTTAGTTAGTTAGTTAGTAGTTAGTTAGTTAGTTAGTTAGTTAGTTAGTTAGTTAGTAGTTAGTTCGTTTGAAAGGAGGATGTATAAACATCAAATCCTTTAACCAGTGCTTCGGTCTACCAGGCTATAACGATAACCACTAACCTATTGGAGGCCACAAAGTTACTTCAGTTCGTCAAAAAATGTGTTTGACAATTTTAGGAAACAAGATTGGATAAACGTGGAGGGCTCCGAGGGGGTTGTTAGAGTGAAATGAAGAAATTCGTCTTCATTTAAAATAACATAGTTTTCGGCCTTTATATCCCGAATGCAGGATTGGTTGGTTGGCCAAATATGTTACCATCAAAATTTAGTTTTCCTGAAAATGAGAGATAGCTGCTTTTGAATAAAATCCCTCAATATGTATTTTCTGAATCCTTATAGATAGCGGAGTCCATTAGCAATATTCATTCGTCCGTATCTATACATAAATTTTTGTATAATTCAATTTACTAAAGTCACCAGATACCATAGCGAGGGGTATTGATTTTGATTTATTGCCCAAATTTAAGTGTTGGATCATTTATCAGCCGCAAAAAATGATCAAATTTAAATTAATAACATCTCGAACTCGAAACGCTGACTCGACTCAAAACCCTAATGCCCAAAAATTAAACCAACGAAAATATGTCAGCCAAAAATCTGAACAAAATACCGTCAATAAACAAACAGTAATATGATTTTCGGTAGCATAGCAAGAAAATTTCTTTGCCCTCCAGAGAAAATAGTACCTTAAATCAATTAGTATACAAATTAAGCTTCTCATTCAAACGATTGTCATGGTAGAAGAGTTCAAATATGCTCCAAAATAATGTACACATTTTACAGTTACATATTATTATTCATTTATGCATTGTACTCCCATATGAGTAGTTTCATTGTTGTTGTTGTTGTGTATGGAAAAAGAGAGGCCAAAATAACTTTTGGGGAGAAATAAAAGCGCCAGAAAAATAATATTGATAAAAAACAAAAAGTTCTGAAAAGTAAACAAGCGAGTGGCAAGTTAGTATTTTATAACGGTTGTTTGCGTATAGACGGGTTTTGGTTAAAAAACGCATTGGGTAAAAGGTAACGAATTTATTTGGAGTGCGTATGTGTGTGTGTGTGCCAGAGTTTTTCTTAACTTGGTTTAACCCACAATAAAACCTAAAATGTTTGTTATTGTGGGGGAAAATACTTCAGTGTGCGTGTGTGTTTTGGGTTTTGTTATACGATAGTAAATGACGACACAATAGAAAACCCGTTAGTTAAGAAAAATTTAACCAAAATAAACAAACTAAAAAAAATAATGGAATTTTAAAGTTTGGGAAAGTGTTTGTGTGTGTGTATGTTAATTTTTACGGTTTACTTTAACTTATTATAATTTTAATTACAATTTCAGTTTCATTTAACTAAAAAAAATATAACAACAGCTTAAAATAAAAGTAAAAAGCAATAAAAAATCTAAATAAAACATAACAAAACAAAATAACCTAAATAGCTAAACATGTGGCCTTTTAAAAGTGTTCTTATAAACTGGATTTGTTATAAATAATTAAATTTTCATTTGAAAATAAATTTTACTAAAAAAGTGTGCCTTTAAATACCAAAAATTTATACAAAAAACCTAAATAATAAAATACAACAACACTAAGTGCCTGACAATATGACGACGCCTAGACGTCTTGTCTTTAATGGTTTGGCTGCAATAATTCTGATTGTTTTAACTTTCATAACCAAAATAAAAACACAAAATAGTGAACTATTTGAATCTGCGGAGTTTACCAACAGTCAATATGACGTCGACCCAGATTTTCAAGGCAATACACAATTGCAATTTGCTTCACCGCTGCCAACAACAAAAACACCACCACCCCTATTGGGACCGGACGACAATACGCTGATGTCATCGTCTTCTGCGTCTGCCTCCACCTCATATACGGAATTGAATGGCGGCAGTATAACTAGTGAACGTATATTACGTTCTAGTGAAAGTCCTTATGCTGTACGTGAACACCTGACAGTGGAACGTAATGGCAAATTAATAATAGAACCTGGTGTTCGATTAGAGTTTGCTCCTACCGTTGGCATAACCATACGTGGAATATTACATGCAGTGGTAAGTTTAAATTGGAAATTTTAACACAATTTTCATTATGAATTAAAATGGAATTCAGTGCATATCATGAAAACGTTATACATTTTATTATTATTTTCTTACTCTGCACTTCTATATTGGGTTGGGTATTATGAGTTTGTTTTGATGTTTGTAACGCACAGAAACATTTCCCTACTACTTTTTCACTTTTTCATGCAAAGACTGAGGCTATACAATAAAATATAGTCGGGACTGATTAATAGCCGTGGCAATACACTGACCTGTAGTTAAGTCATTGTCTATTGTCTGGACCTATCTATAGAGAGAATATAGACTGATCTGCAGTTGTTATTATGGACTGATCTATAGCCTTGACTATAAACTGAAATATTTTTGATATTTTTTATTGATCTATACACGAGACTAAACTTTCTATAGACAATACATACTATAGTCAATAATCCAGACTATAGAGTGATCTATAGGTAAAAGTACCAATAACTAATCTATATTCTAAACTGTAGACTGATGTATATTCCATACTATAGACTGATCTATATTCAAGACTATAGGCTCATCTATAGTCCAGACTGTAGACTGATCTATAGTCCAGACTATAGCCTGATCTATAGTCCAGACTATGGACTGATCTATAGTTCAGACTATGGAATGTTCTATAGTCCAAACTATGGACTGATCTATAGTCCATATTATAGACTGATCTATAGCCCAAACTACGGACTGATCTATAGTCCAAACTATAGACTGATTTATAGTCCATACTATGGACTGATCTATTGTCCATACTATAGACTAATATATATAGACTATTGACTGATCAGTAGTCCAGACTATAGACTTATCTATTTTCCATACTATAGTCAAGACTATAGGCAGATCTATAGTTAAGACTACAGAATGATCCATAATTAAGACTAAAGACTAGTATATAGTCAAAACCATAAATTTATCTTTAATCAAGACCATAGAGTGATTTATAGTATAGTCTAAAGATTGATCTATATTCATAACTATAGACTGATCTATATACAAAATATGGATAGATCTATAGTCCAGACTATGGACTGATATATAGTCAAGTCTATAGACTGATTTAAAGTCAAGACTATCGACTACTCTCTTGTGAGGACTATAGACTTATCTATAGTGCAGAATGTAGACTGATTTAAAGTCCAGACTATAGAATGATTTATAGTCTAGACTACAAACTTATCTATCGTTGACACTATAGAGACTTCTATATATAGTCTATACAATAGACTGATCTGTAGTCCAGACTGATCTATAATCCAGACTATAGACCTATCTATAGTCCAGACTATAGACTGATCTGATAGTCGAGACTCTAGAATGATCTTTAGTGGAGAATACAGACTGATCTATAATAGAGTATATACACTTACTGAGCAATAATTACACCTGCTGTTAGGGTATCATGAGGTCTGACATAACCAACCTCTACTTTCTTACCAGTTTTTTCTGTTTTTAGTTTTATTTTGACTTAACAAGTGTATTTGACACACTTACTCATTTCATATTTGATCTTGTTCTTATTGCTATATTTTTTCGTAATTTTAGTTTTTAATTTTTTTTACTTGTAATTCAAATCAAATGTTAGTGATTCATGAGGTTCAACCTCATAAATGTTTGTTTACAGACAAGTTTTTTGTTGTTGTTTTTATTTTTTTAGAAAGAAATTCACCTGTTGCTTGAATACTATTGTATTGCTGTTATCTATATGGAAAAGCTTTTTATCTGTTACTCATATCAGCAACGTTGTAACGCTTTATGATAACACATTAAATTGCGGAATTGTATTATGCTCTGTTTAAGGTTGACGTAGGCCCGGCTGAGTGACTACATATTTTTTTTTTTTTTTCAAAGTGGGTTCATTGATAAGATTATATGATAAAGGGAAATATGTACTTGCTTATGAAACCTGTTTCGTTTAGAGATTCTATTTTTTGTAGAGAAAATTGCAAATTTCATTAATTGTTGTAATTGTTCTTGGTTAAGTCATATTTAGTTAGCAATAAGTGAGAAGTTTGATAAGATTTCGATTACAGTGGGGGTTTCAATTTAATTTCAATTTAATTACAACTGAACGGAAATATGTATATGAACAACGAAAACAAATATTATTACTCTTAAATAAAAAAATGTTGCAAATATTATTCAACATAGAATATAACTTAAACTGGAGGTCAACAAGTTCTTGCAACATAAATTAATTAATAACTAAAGCAGTTGTTATTAATACTTTTAATAATCTAAAACTGTAACATAATTTATTGAAATATTGAACTATGAATTACTTTGTCTACGGAAGTCTCTGATGTAATAACATTTAGAAAAAAAAACCTACCACTCTAATAACATTTATTTCCGTTTTGGCCACTTTAACATTAAGACAATAATGTTGGGAAAAAATACATAATAGTAAGGTATGATATCAAACTAAAGTAACCTTATAAATTATACTGGGCACTTCCTCCCCTTTTACAGCAATTTATGGAATACATACTTGTCTTTAACTTGTCTTCCTGTCAACGAACGCTTTAGTATATTAAAGAACAAGTATAAAATGCAGCAGAATAAGAAAAGAACATAACAACAACAACGAACTAAAGTGACTAATAATACAAGCTGATAAAGAAAAAAGCTCATAAGAAAAGATATTTTGCGGAAGCAGAGGTCAATGTTTGTGTATAAAATCACACTACTAACATGACACATCTTTGAGGCTTATTCATCTTGAAGAACGAATTATAATTTCATTTTCATAATTAAATTTTCTTTACAACAAACACAGTTTCCAATTTACTTCATTCATTCAATGAATAGATTGTCTGTCATCATACTTCATATGTACAAGATTGTTGTTGTTTGTGGCGTTGGTTGTAACTTGAGAGATGAGGAAAGAATTTGTGTAACTAATTGAGGAATGTATCTTTGATGTTTGTTAGAAAAAAAGCGAACAAAAAATAATAACTTCCTATTATGCATGTGGCATGAACATTGTACGCATAATAAGGTGTTACTAATTTAAAATTGTTTTAATTTTTCCGGGAACTAATAAAGTTCTTTAAACATCTTAGTTTGTGTTAAAAATTTTCGACAAATTTTCTACAGAAACCAGTTTTGTAGGGAACATTTTTTTGACCAGTTTATCTACAGATAATTGATCAGTTTATTGTAAAATTCTTTATGGAACATTTTTCGACTAGTTTTCTAGAAAATACTTTTCGACCAGTTTTCTAGAGAAAACATTGATAAAACTTTTCGACCAGTTTTTCTACAGATAATCGATCAGTTTATTGTATAGTTCTTAATGGAACATTTTTCGATCAGTTTTTTTAGAAAAAACTTTTCGACCAGTTTTCTAGAGAAAACTTGTCGACCAGTTTATCTACAGATAAACGATCAGCTTATTGTTAAGTTCTAAATGGAACATTTTTCGACAAGTTTTCTAGAATATTTGTAGCCAGTATTTTAAAGAAGGAATTGCTACCAGTCTTCTATAGAAAGTTTTTAGACAAGTTTTTAACTAAAAACCTATTTGACTACAAACTATTAATTTTTCTCGCACAACTTTTCGACCATTTTCTTGGAGTAAAAATTTAAGACAGTCTTTTATATGAAATTTTTTTTGAGAATAACTTTCTCAAAAATGTTTCTATAGGAGAAAAATTGTCGACCAGTTTATTCACAGATAATCAATCGAGTTTATTGTAAAGTTCTATAGGGAACATTTTTCGACCAGTTTTTTACAGAATACTTTTTGAGCAGTTTTTAGGAGAAAACATTGAGAAAACTTGTCGACCAGTTTATCTACATATAATCGACCAGTTTATTGTAAAGTTAATTTTTCCACCAGATTTCTAGAGAATACTCTTGTAGCCAGCATTCTTAAGAATACATTGGACCAGTCTTCTATAGAAACTTTTTGGAATAGCTATAAAGAGAACACGTTTCTGACTACAAATTAGTAATTTTCTTTACACAACTTTTCGACCAGTTTCATAGAGGAAACGTTTAGATCAGGTTTACCCATAAAACTGCTTTGAGAAAAAGTTTTTCGAAACATTTTCTGTAGAATAGTTTTCAAAAATTTTCATTATAGAACTTTTCGACCAGTTTTCAGGAGAAAACTTTCGGCGAAAACTTCAGGAGAAAACAGTTTCTAAGAGAAAACGTTTAGATAAGCTTTTCCATGAAACTCTTCTGAGAATAATTTTCGATCATTATAGAGAAATCTTTTAAGAAATTGTATTGTTTCTCGAAAAAATTTCATTATACAACCAGTTTTCTGCAAGTTTTTTGACCATCGTTCAGAAGAACATTTTTCGGCCATTTATTTACAAAAAGCTTTAAAGCGATTTTCTTATAGAAAACTTTTGGCTACACAAAGTTTCTAGCGAAAACTTATCAGCCAGTTTTCTAGAGAAAATTTTGATAATAATACTAAAAAGCTTTTGTGTAATGCTGTCAAAATAAAACTTTCTGCAGAACAGTTTCTGATAAATTGTGTACAGTTTTTAAACAATTAACCCGGAGAAAGTATTGAACAAAACTTTCGACTACAGAAAGCTTCTAGAGAACAATTTTCGACCATAACCCTAAAACAAACCTTTAGGTGGGTTTCAAACAGTATTACTCCAGAAAGCTTTGAGGCAAATCGTTTTAGAAAAAACTTTTCTTAAATTCTAAATTTTTTTGCAGTTTTCCTTCCATAATTTTAGCTTTAGTAAACTTTTCGTCAGTTTGTTAAGGTTTAATTAGTTTTAGGTTTAATTGAGTGATCACAAATTTCTTCAGAAAGCTTTCTAAATATAACTGATTTCTCTCTCAGTTATCGAACAAACACTTTTCGGTCAGCAACCAATTTTTGACAATTATCTACCAGTTTTTCAACCTCTTAGCTTTTTCTATAGTATGTTTTTTCTCAAGATCAAAGTTTCTTGAAATAATCGTTATGCAGCACCCTAATCAACTCACTCCCTGATTATGATGAAAACTACTTATTAGGTTAAGTATTTGAAAAATAATAATAAAAACTCTTATAAACACAACATGATAATTGTAGACATCATCATCGTCATCGTCATCGTCTTATTAACACATCTTTAGGTCAGAAGGTCACTAAGAGTTAATTGTATTCAAGTGTCCATAATGAAATTACATGATGACTGCTGCATAAAAAACCGATCTTGATTGTGTGTCTGTGGTTATGATCTTATGCTAATTTAATTATTCTTCTTCTATTCACTGTGTGTGTTTTTTTTGTATTACAGGGAACACCAACGGCACGCATTACTTTGACAGCACAAGGTCACAATGTAGAATTACCCGATGTAGAAGAACGTGGCATACGTTTGGTAGATGGGCCCACACCCTTAGAGGGCAGGTTAGAGATCTTTCATAAGGGATCATGGCGGTCTGTTTGTACTAATTCAAGAAAGTAAGTTGTTTGTGTTTAATAGATAAATTAAATTCCAATTATATGTTTCTTTCTTAGTTGGACTATGATTGACTATGAGGTGGCTTGCCGTCAATTGGGTTTCAAAGGTGGCCGCTTTTGGAATTGGGTAGATCGTACACCCGACCTAAAGCCACGTTTGCTGTATGAATTGCCAAATTGTAAGGGTACGGAAAACTCGCTTTTGGATTGTCAATGGTCGTCTAGACAGTTGGGTTCCGGAGTTTGTGATTATCACAGTGATATAGGCATACAGTGTAAAGCTATACACAGCATACAACTGACGCACTGGCGTGGCTTGTATTTTGATAACGCTCCCACTACCAAAACTTTGGCCAAGGACAATACAGTGTATTACACCAAATCCAAATCGACGTTGAAATATGTGGATATAATAAGAGCCGGTAATGGTTTGAAACAGTCGGCCAAATCAGCCTTGGAAACTATAGGTATACCTCCCGTGCTGCAACATGTAGTGATAACCCATTCTGCTTATACTGGGTTCAATGCTACACGTCCCTATGGTGGCTTTCAAATGCAAAATGTCACCGTTAGAAAAAGCAATGGCATCGGCATATTTGTTAATTCCAGTCAAGGTTATGTGCAACTAAATGGCTGTAATATTCAGGATAACTTTGCCGATGGTGTTAAATATGTGGGCCATGATTTGAGAGTCGACGAGAGACCCGATAGATCTTCTATATATGATTTTTGCACTTTACCCACCACCTCGGGACAAACCTATCCCATTACTTTATCTTTTACCCAGAAATTTTATGCTGGTTCTGCCAAAGAATGTGCCAAATACTTTTTTACCAAACCCGGCTATGTGCTCACCGTGCAATTTGAACAATTTGTCTTGAAAAATAATGAAACGGCTTCAGTGGAAATATTTGATGGTGCTTCAGCTAATGATCGTTTGTTGTTCTTTTGGAAAGCTCGCAACTTTACTAGGCCTCAGAGTGTTACCTCTACACGAGAAAAGCTGTATATAAGAATTAAAGCCGATATGCGAGAAGAAATAAATGGTTTTATACGCATAACTACGGGAGAAACAAGTGCATTTGACTTAAGAGTTCTAGACTCTACTGTGCAGGATAATAGTGGGCGTGGCATTGCTGTAGATAATCTAAGATCAAGATTACATGTTCATACTTCCTCTGTATCGGGCAATGGTCATGTGGCTGGTGTTCATATAGCCAGTGGTGCTGGTGATGTCAATATAACCGAAACTAACATAAGTTACAATCAAGGTTCTGGTGTCAATATCACTTACACGGGAGGCAATCGTAATGTTTCACGCAGTTATGTCAACTTCAATAAAGGCTATGGCATAGCGGTGTGGTTAAATGAAACCTCTGATCCCAACCGAGTAGAATATATAGCATTTAACCAGACCACCGCAGTAGAATACTCACATCTTAATTCTAATTTGGAAACTGGTATACTGCATGGCAATTACTGCCAACCTTTGTGGGTCAATATAACTGGCAATTACTTTAATGGCAGCGCCGATAATGATATACGTTTGGAAACTTGTTGGAGATCTTTGGAGCCAAATGAACCCAATACACGCCTGCAAATAGGACACAACTCTTTTGAGAATAGTCAACAGAATTCCATATACATAAGTCCGGCTTTAAATCTGCAGGGCAGGATAGAATTTAATCAATTCCGTTATGGTCAATATGGTTGCATTTATATACGAAACGATTTTATATTTCAAGAATTCAATATTATGCCGGTGCGTCTGATAATACAAAGTAATTATTTCATAAAAAATCAGGGTGTACATGTGGTTTCACTAGGTTTATCGCCCTATAGTCGTAAAGATGTTCAAGGTCTTTTATTTACCCGCAATTTTGTTAGGGAAAATCGTATAATGGAATTTTTTGGTCCTCCTGTAGAGGGCAGTGAAGGTTATGATGGTGCTGGACGTTTAAATCCCCGATCAAGGGTAGCAGCTGCTGTTGTGGTGGGTTCTAATAATGTCGATATTTTTCGCAATATTTTACACAATTTGGATTCAACCTATGAAATTGGTTCGCAATTGAGTGATCAAAGTCAAATTATCAACGCCACCTATAACTGGTTGGGCCATACTGAAGAAACGAAAATCTATGCCCGGCTCTTTCATCGTAATGATCGTTATAATTTGGCTAAAATAGAATATATACCCTATCTGCTGCATAGCTCAAATCCTGGTTCCATTACAGTCATTTCTATATCCACCTTTGTGCCACGATTTTATAGTGAAGGCTCTGAGTATATAGGAGGTGAGGTAGATGGCCAAGAAATGATTCCTGCCGGCACTTATACGGTCAACAAAGATATCAATATAAGACCGGGAGGCAAACTGATATTACAACCTGGTGTTACTTTACAATTTGAGCCCAGTGTAGGCATGATGGTGGCTGGTAAATTGGAGGCCCGTGGCAGAAGACCGGATGATATATTCTTAACCCTTAAACGTAATACTATAATGCCCATGGATGTGGATTCCTCTACCAATCATGAAATGATGGATGTGGAAAATTTAGATATGGATACAGAGACAGTGATAACAGGCGAGGAAACGCCACAAGTTAATGTTAGACTTTTGGGTGGAGCGGGTCCCTATGAGGGTCGCCTGCAACTGTACTTAAATGGTAGATGGGGTACTGTTTGCGATTATGGTTGGACTGAGTTAAATTCCGCCTTAGTGTGTCATCATTTAGGTTATACGCTAAATCCAAAAGACTGGCGTTTACTAAGATCCCAAATGCCGGCTGTTGGTCTGACAGAAGATGTCATTGTTTCCAATGTACGCTGTACAGCTCATGATCGTGATATTACCAAATGTAAGGCTGAATATTTGAATAGAGGTGATTTTGAAAATTCCTGTTCCCATGATAATGATGTGGGTATACGCTGCTATGAAGGAGCCTGGGCGGGAGTTAGATTTAGTATGTTGGCCGAGAGAGCGGATTTGCAGTATGTTACCATCGAAAAGGCGGGCCTATTCGATTATACCACCAATACCTTTAAGCCTGCTCTACAAATGGATTTTGCCAGACATAATTTAGAAAATGTAAGAATTGTCGATAATTTAGATGATGGTTTGGGTGTTATATATGCCGATATTTATGGTGGCAAAGCTATCAATAACATACGTAATTCCGAGTTTGTGGGTAATCGTGGTAGTGGCATAAGTTTCAAACAATTAGATTTTCGTATACAAGGTTCTATAATCAAAAACAATAGAGGCAGTGGTATTTCCCATGATCCGGTTATAGCGGCCAATGATCAATTGGAAATTGGAGGCTGGTTTAAAATGGCTATAGATTTTAATACATTTGAGACCAACTATGAGCCCTACAATTTGCCCTCTGACGAAGGCAATATAGAGTTGGGTCCCATGGATAGCAAATATGTACGCACAGAGGAAATACGGGGACGTTCGATCAGTAAAAAACTATACGTAAGATGTTCTGCTGGTTATGTTTTGGGCATACAACTTTTAAATCCCATACACAATCAATCCAGCGAAAGTATATTGATATTGAATTCACAAAGTGAAAATCAAAGATCTCAGGTCTGGGATGTAAGAAGAGATTTAAATGTTTTTCCCACCACCAGCAGTAGTTATGGCATAGTAATATACTACGAAAGTGGTGAAAATGCTTTAGGAGGTGCAGTTCTAATGTTGACTACAGTTCAAGCTCCTATACAAAATATACGCAATAGGGTGGTAAGTGGACCAGTACCCTCTCTGCACCTAAGATCCACCAAAATACAAAAGAATTTAAGAGGTATATCGTCTATATACTACAATCGTTATCGTGGCAATGAGGGAGAATACTATTTAAGAAAAGCCAATGAATCCATTAAAATAGTCAACTGTGAAATAAGCAACAATGATTTGGAAGCAGTTTTGTTCAGCTCCCCCTTTTGGGATGTTATCAGCAGTAATCTTTCCGAAATAACTTTACATTTAAATGGCTCTACTATTAGCCAAAACGGCTATGGCATACGCCAGCTGTCCAAAGACTTGAGATCTTCTAACAATCTCTTCCATTATGTTATACAAGATACCACGGTGGAGGATAATAAAAATGGCGGCTTTCAGGTTTCATTACCCTATGTTTGGCAATATAATGAAAATTTCACACACAGCATACATTTTGGCAACACTACTTGGCAGCGCAATCGTAATTTTTATATAGAAGTCTCGGGTCATTACGCCGATTTCAATATAACCTCTAATGCTTTTCTTAATAACCAATGTCCGCACAGTTTGATAGCCGTAGCGGGAATGGAAAAACGCATTAAATTTGACAACAATCGCATAGAGCAAAATATGGCCAAATATGTCATGGAATTTAAGGCCGACAGTTTAAGTGAAAAGTTGGGAGAAGTAAAGGCCACCATTGAATATAATACCATCAAGAGAAATAGTAACTTTGAACCTTTAAGGCATCTACCAGCACTAACGCATGCCACCAAATTGGCTGCTTTAAATAGTATGCCCACAGCTGTCATACGTATCGATGGCATACAAAATGTTAAACTTTATCGCAATCTTATAGCAGATAATACGCTTAGATATAACTTGGTGGCCGGCTTAAGATCTGCCAGACTGGATAATTATTTCTATGCCCGAGAAAATTGGTGGGGTTCTAGTGATATTGATTTTATAGAATCGAAAATATTTGATTTTGATAATTGGAATGATCATGCCGATGTTATATTCCAGCCTTATCTAATAGAAGATTCATTCGATGCCAGTGTTTCGTTGGTCAAGGAAAATCGTGACATTATAGATTTAAACACCTGGCAGGGTGGTCGCATATTTACAGATCTTTATATACGAAAACGAGCCGAGCCATATGTTATTAAAAACGATATAACAGTTATGCCCGAGACCACTTTAACTATAGAGCATGGCGTCAAAATGGAATTTGAACCCAGTATAGGCATGCTTGTTTTGGGTTCCCTAAATGCTATAGGTTATGAAGAATCTCCTATTATTATGAGACCCTTCAAAAATGCCACTCATGAATCGTATTCTTTGTTAAACAAAAGAGCTCTAGAGGATATGTCACAAATGCAAACCCACGATTCTATAAGATTGTGTACCAATTCACAAAATTGCAGTTCGGATACAAATGATGTGTATGACATAAATCAAGGTTTTCTAGAATACTTTAATCACACTACCCTACAGTGGGTGCCAATATGTGACAGCCGTTTTACCGAACGTAATGCTCAGGTTGTATGTCGTGAACTGGGTTATGATCCCTTGAATGTATACTATTCTCACGATCGTAGAATTGAGTTCCATACCAATTCTTTAACTAGGATTTGGACTTGGGTACAACCGCTGGAATGCCGTGGCGATGAAACTCGCATGTCCGAGTGTGAGGAACGTCTTAATGGTCAAGTTTATGGTCATCGTCATGAGTGTCGTTGGGATGATGTTTTCGTGTTTGTTAGCTGCAAGGGCACGCCCGAAGATGAAGTCTATTGGGGTGGCATACGTTTTAGTAATGCTCAGTTCGAGGAAAATCAATATGAACATCGTTATCACGATACACTCACGCATAATTCGCAAAAGAACAAAGGTAGTAAACTGCAGTTTGTATCGATAGAAAACGCTGGCGTATTACACAATCAAAAATCGGCCGCTATACAAGCCATATATAAAACACCCGCCATAACTGCGGTTACTATAAAAAATTCCGCCAATCATGGGGTAAATTTTGTGGCTCCTAGTGGTCCCATTAATTTAAATTTGCTAAATATAAGCCAAGCTTTGGGTACTGGCATAAATATTGTCTCCTTGACCGGTGAGGGCCGGGAAAGTGAGGAATCCAGTTTTACACCTCTTAAGAATCTAGACTTGCCTTATAAACTCTTTTCCTTGATTGATATTTGTGATCCTCAAAAGTCCATAGAAATAGAAGAAAGAGTATTAGTCTACTATAAATATGACAATAATCCGGTAAATTGTGTGAAAATGTTTACCGCTGCCTATAGAGCCAAACCGATTGGTTTTCGTTTATTGCAATCTAATCTCTTCAATCATTCAAAACTATATGGACGCATGGATTCTATACGTTTATATGATGGTGATGTTTATAATGTTACTTCAGTATTTATGGATCAAATAGAGTCGGATACCAAAAATCAAAAGTCTTTCTTTAAGACACAAGGTCCCACTTTAAGTGTTCATTTAATGGCTAGTGGTGCTCCCGAATATCATGGTTTTATAGCAGAAGTGGTAACAGTGCCCATTTCAACTATTGGACAATGTAAGTTTAAACGATTTCTTAAATTTCTTTAATAAATTTTTTATTCTAATGTATTTCTTACTTAAATAGATCGTGATGCCCTACACAATATTACTTATTCCCATATAACAAAGGCCACCAAAGGTGCTGTCACTTATTCCTCTGCGGGAGAGATTACACCCACTTTAACCTTAACTTCCAATCGTATACAAAATAATTGCATGCAATTATATGGTAATTTCTCCACCTGTCCCTCCGCCATTAATGTGGATGTACAGAATATGAATTCATTTTACTTTATGGTGAGTTAATCTTTTCACAACCGAAGAAACATACTTACCACCATTTTCCTTTATTTTTATAGAATAACTTGATATTAAACAATCAGGGAGGTTTGAAATTACGTGCCGATTCTCGTGGATCGGCTACTTCTCTGAGAGGTTTTATACATCACAATCTTTTCCTCAAGAATCGCAATCGCCCAGCTTTATTCGTGGAGGGAAGACAATCATCTCCCTATCAAGAAGTTGAACTATATCGTAATTACTTTGCTCAAAATCAAGCCGGTTTTGAGGATGTTATACGTTTGCGTCAAGTTGTTTCTAACTTTAGTTACAATTTTGTACACAGTAATGTGGGTGGTCGTATAGTAGAAGTTTCAGGGTTTGAAAAGGTACGCTTACCCATTTACCAGAGTACTTCGCATAATGGTTTTTATAGGTAGGTGTCTTTAAAATAACTTAATGGGAAAAAATTATTTCTTTATAAACATATATTTTTTGTTACAGAAATGTGGCCACTAACTGGATGGGAAGAGCTACCATAGTGGCTGGCACTGCTGGTCAGCAATATGTGGATAATATTTTCGAAAATCCCGACAACGATTACGAAATTATTACTGTAAATAGTACGATGTAAGTGTTCAGACAAATATTTTAAATAGTTGGTCATATTTCATAGAATCATTAGAAGCATTTTTTAGTTTTATTAATTTCATTTAAATACCTTTCCTAATAATAGTTTTCTTCCTTTTTGGGATTAACTTTAAAGATCGCAATAGATCAAACATAGAGTTACCTTATTCTTGATTTGTTCTTTCTTTGTGCTTCATGTTTATTTTGAGAATTTACAAGGAACATTTTATTTACTTTATATTGAAAATTTGAACATAAACTGAACTATAAATAGTTAAGTAGTTTGACAAGAGGTTGTATGTTACATCAAATCAGAAGAAATACACCTAGACATCCATCGGGCCTGTTGTACGCTCTCTTTTCAGTGCCTCTGGGGGAATCGAACCTACGAACTCCAGTCTGACTGAACTAGAACTGAACTAGAACTGAACTAGAACTGAACTGAACCGGAACCGTAGTAGAAATGAAATAGTACTGAACTAAAATTTTAATATAACGACATTGAATCTAATCTTCCTAAATCATCATACTTCATTTATACTAAAACCATAAAGTCTAATCTTTGTCTCTAAATAATCACTAATCTGTATAATACAAATTTATTTATCTTTCTTTGCTAAAAAAAAAAAATAAAACTATTATCTGCATGATCTTTAATATAGTTCCAGTTTTGACTATCGAAACAGGTAAAACTTGACTTAATTTTAATTTCAAACCTGAAAAAAATTAACCAAATTAACAAATTTTATCTCATAATTTCACAGCACTATTGAATTATGGCGTTCCAAAATCGATGCCCGTCACAATTATTGGAGTTACAACAACAGCATTTCCGTGCAATCTAGAATTAAAGATAAGTCAGGTAAGTAAATTTCATACAAATTTAGAATATTATGTAATTACTGATTCCTTTCCAGATGATCCTTTATTGCTGGAGGTTCAAGCAGTGCCCTTCCAAATGAACAATCAATCTATATTAGATGGCAAATGTCCACCCGGTTGGGCTCAAGTCCAGGACACTTGTTTTATGTATGTGGGTGTGCCTATGACTTTTCACGAAGCAAAAGACTTTTGTAGATCGGAAAATTCCTCAATGCCTTTTATAAGAACAGACAGCGCCACCTTGTGGTCATATTTACAGACACAAATGAGACATTTGAAGTAAGTTGTACAGATTAACTTAGGCGTTCCCGCATTACAATGACATTTTCTTTAATTTACAGATATCCCGAAAAGGTTTGGATCCAGGATTTTAATCATATAGATCGTTGTACCAGCTTTGCTTTTACCGAAGTGATCATAGAAGAGTGCAGCAAAGAAATGGGCTTTATATGTGAAATAGATCCCAAGGTAGTTTGAATAAGATATTTAATTTTGTCTGTGTTTTAATTCCAAGCCTATTATTTCAGGTGGTGATTGATCCTTTATCCTGGAGAGCTGATATTTTTGCTATTAGTATTATTTCCGCTTTTGTTTTGGCCATTATTTTATTGGTTTTGGTGGCCATTTGTTGGTATGCCAAATCTAAACATAGACATGTACAAAGGCTACAACGACGCAATAGTATACGACAAAGTTTACGCAGTCTGAATAGTATAGATCCCCAGGGTTCCTTGAGAAGAAGAAACTTTGTATGATTTTGTTAATTTACTTGTTTTTTTTGTTATTTTTATTTTATTTCTTATTTTGTTATTTTTTTAATATTTATTTCTTTAGCATATGTCCACCTCTACTGGCACTTTAACCAAAACTATGGCCCAAGATTATAAAATGATGGGCAATGGTTCTTTCGAGTCCATAGACAAAAGTGTCTTAAGTTCAGAGGCCAGCTTTGAACCTTATGAAAATCATCGTAATGGTGAAAAATCTGAATATCAAACGCCAAAGAAGTCACAAAATGAATATGTTACTAGCACCGTAAGATCGGGCTCCTCACAGGGACCCCATAGAGTAGCAACTATAGGTTCCGCCTCTAAGGCCAGTGCAAGTCGTGGTAGAGCAGCAGTAGCTGCTTGGTCTGAACAAAAACCCAACGACTTTGAATTGTCCTATCGCAATGAAGGTTTCCGTGATAACTCTACCTATTCGGGTACACGCAATAATTCCATTAGCAACAGTATAGCCGAAGATACACCCATTATTCATCAGACCGATGTAGAAGAAACTGGTTCCGATTATTATGGTAATGCAAGTACATTACCATTAAGGCACGATCCCAATGAAAATTTAACATTTTTATCCGAACTTAAGAAAAATATACCAGAACAACGTACCAGTACTTTATCGGACAGACCGCCAAGTTCATTTTTGCCTCCTTTACAGAAAACTCCCTCGCCCAATGCGACTCAAACACCATTTGGCAATAACTCACATGCCGATAGTTTGACATACGAACAAAAAATCGATAATATGAACTTTAGTTCTTTAGCCGAATTACGTAGTCATAATAATAGCCAAGTAAGTAATGGTACTGCTGTCATACCGCCCGACATAAGACGTCCGGACTCGTATATGACAGCAGTAGGAGCGAATAGACTGTCAAGACCGGTATCTACTCTGGGCAATACACCCAAGTATGACACCCCTATTGCCCATGTGGCCAATAGACGACCCAAAACAGTTTATGAAAGTGATGACACTGCCAGTGCACAAATACCTTCATCCCTAAGGCCAGACGAACGTAAAGCATCCTATCAGCAACGTTCACGTTCCGAGGCATTGCTAGAGACTGATCTTGACCTTGACAATACACCGACCATGGACGCCAATGGCCGATCCTATAGCCAACCATTAGAGACCTCAATGTAAGTGAGCGACATCAATGTTCAATTAGGTTTTTTTTTTAATTTCAATACAACAACAACTATTGATGATCTCTTACATTAGGGATTTAATTTTTTATTTAATATAATTTTATTTTTAAGTTATTAAAGCAATATTTTAATGTATTTTTTTTAAACTTATCATTTCACTACTTTTAACATCACTTTAAGTTTCTTGTGTTTAATTCAATTTTATTTTCTATTTTAATTATTAAAAATTGTTAATTTTATTTTTTATATTTAGTGTTTTTTTGAAACAAACGAGATTTTCTTTTAAGTTTTATATTAGTAAAAACAAAAAAAAAAACATCAACCATTCCCTCCATTAGTTGTTTAAGTTTATTTTATAATTTAAAACATGTATTTTATCTTATAAACATCTAATTGTTTCAATTAGCAACAAATTAAAACAAAATATTTACAAATTATTTTTTAAGTATTGTATTATTGTAATTTTATTGCGCCTTATTATTAAAAAATTGTATATTATAATAATTTTATGTAAATATGAAAAACAAAACAAATAAATTTAATATTTTTCGAATTAAAATTTAACCGTCGAATAAGTGTATTTTTATACCCTTCACCTTCGTCCGAAGGGTGTTGAAGTCGAGTGCTTTACGTGAACAATTAGTCGGCACTTAGAGACGTAATCGGTAGACCGAAGTACGAATCCATCAAATAAGCTGAGACTTTGTTCTTACTCACAGAGGACAAACTATGGTAAATCTGGTATGAACAGAGTTTGCTCTGAACATACCTGGACAAGGAAGGAAAATTCAATGGTATCTCATGTATAAGATTCGTTTCGTCCATCACCATTCAACCCAGCACACTTCTCATTCAGCCGACACTCTCATAAGAGCACAACATACGACAGACTCACTCTCGTTCCCACGACAATTGGATCTCCGCTCCGGAACGACCCGATTCTCAATCGGCCAAAGATTTTCAACTCAGCAACAGCTGTATCAACCAGAAGTTTTTTCCCCAGGGAAAACATCCAGTTACAGCCAACCTGTTACAACAACAACAACAACGGACTCACTCTAGGTATACGGCCGAATGAGATCCGTATACTCCTACATTCATCCTGTATCATATACATATAACACCAACTCATTTCCAAAGCTTAGGCCCACAGTCTGTGGGCTTCTATGGAGTATCTGTTGTTATTCGCCAAAGCACAATTTTTGTACATGGATAAGCCGGGACATGGATAAGCCGGTACATGGATAAGCCGGTCCATGTACAAGCACTTTGCTCAAGTACTCGAGCTAATCTAATCTCTTGCCATAGTAGTCACGTGAAAATGGTATATATAAGTTTGTTGTTCCATTTGTATTTCCACAATATAATTTTCCGATCCTATAAAGTATATGAATTCTGGATTCTTACATATAGCCTTTACGATTTAGCCATGTCTGTCTGTCTGCCTGTATAATTCTATCAGACATTTCGAGAAGAACGCTATGTTCTTTTTCAATTCAAATGCGTTTTTAACGAAGTTAGAGTCGGTTTAAGTTTTCGATCAATCGAAAAATCGATTTTCGAAGGGAAATACGAGTGTTCACGAAATGGGCCCCTTTTCCTTTTGAAGTACGCTTTAATGAAGTTGGAGCCGTTTATGAGATTTCCACCATTGAATCGTGTTTGAAGGGAAATGTCTTTTCGAGAAATTAAAGTCGATTTAAAGTTCTCAACTTTAAAAAAGAGTGACCATGAGGTTCTTTTTCAATTTAAATGCGTTTTAATTTCTTAAATCTTTCTAAATTAAGTGCGCTCTACTGAAGTTAGAGCCGACTATGAGGTTCCATCACTCAAACGAGTTTTGAAGGGAAATGAGTTTTAGGGAAGTTAGAGTCGATTTCAAGTTTTTATTTCTAAAATCGAAGTGCTATCGCCCGAAAGACTCTTTTTTAAATTAAAATGCTTTATGAATAGTTAACGCCCCATTAGAAGTTTGCGATTAAAAAGTAGATTTTCAAAGAAAAGTATGGTTGAGATCATAACATGAGTCCGTTCTAAAGTTGATGGCGAAGTTAGATCGATTATAAGTTTTCGTCTTAACGAAGTTAAAGTTTAAATTTTTCGATCAAAAAGGCCATTTTTCATAGCAGCATATTTTAAGTTTTTGATATAAAATCGATTTTGGATGGAAACTATGAGTGGCAAAATAATGCCTTTTATCAATTTGAAGGCATTCTGAACTGATTTTAAGTTCTATACTAAAAAAAAAGATTTTTGAAGGAAAATATGGATGATCACAAAATGAGCAAAATAAGAGTCGATTTTAAGCTTTCGATCATAGTAAAAATAAAGAATCCTAACAATCCCTTTCGTTTAGTTAAACAGCTATTTTTAGTTAAATTCTTTAACTTTTCCTCTATAAATTCTATTTCTGGCTTTTCATCCATTAAAAATTAGCTAAATGAAATTATTTGCAATAGTCTCAAATGAAAAGCGTGAATGTTCATAAAAATAGTTCAATTACACCATTAGAGTTCATTGCGATGGTAATACTTTTTTAAAAAATACATACAAATGAATTATTTAACGATACAAAATTAATATTGAAAAATGTACAAAGTTATTTATTACACCCCACTATTGAGTTATGAAAAAAATGATGAAAAATATTTATAACATCTATAAGTAAAACTTTAAAGGCTGGTCGAATACATGGGTGCGTGTTATATACCGAATGTTATATTAAGTTTATAAACGAGGCCATAACAACCGAATAAAACATTTAAAATCTATTCGTTTTAATAAAGCTATATTGTCCAAGGAATACTATGGATTACGGCTGGTCTAAATTGTTTTCACTTTAAAAGCAATCACCAATATATAAAATAGTTTATTTTTTTTAATTATATGCAATATATGTATGTATATATTCGTTTGTAATAAAGTTAAAACTGGATAAAGTATGTTTGGTAATAATTTTTTTTTTTTTATACAAAGTATATACAGCAACTCATACAATTTGTATGTGAGAGTATATTTTAACTCATATGGTACTTATGTATATGTACACACAGTTTAATCCAGTTATTTGCATATAAAGCAATTTTCCGAGTTCAAACAACACAACACTGTTATATGTAGTGTTTAAGGAAGTGTTTAAGTTAAAGTGATTTAAAGTAAATTACTAAAGGTTTATTAAACTAAAGTCTCTTTTAAATGAAAAATTTAATTGTTGATTACAAACGAAAAGGTTTTTCAACTAAAAAATCGATGTCAAAAGGAAAATATGAACGATCATAATATAGGACCCTTTTTATACCATTCACCTTCGTGAGAATATCGCAGTCGATTAAGCTATGTCCGTCTATCTGTCCGTCCGTCTGCCTGTATGTCTGTCTGTCCGTGTGTCTGTCTGTCTATCTGTCCGTCTTTCTGTCCATCTGTCCGTCTGTCTGTCCGTCTGTCGGTCTGTTGAAATCGATTTTCTGAAATCTTTAACAATTTTGTAAGACATGTTTTCTTTTTGAAATCAGTAAAATCGGTCCATAAATATGATAAAGAATCCGAGACATATGAATATCCTGATGGAATGAAAATCTTTAATAGTAATTTTTTTGGTACCTTTTGTTCTTCAACTGGTATTTTGTGAATCTTTTATAATATTGATCCAAAAAAAAACGTAAAATTAAGCAAACAGCATACTGATTGAATTAAAATTTATAAAAGGAAAGTTTTTTGTACTTTTTCGTCATTCAAATGGTACTTTTTTCATTAAGGATCCTGATAGAATGAAAATTTATAAGACAAAATCTTTCCTTTTTTCAATTCAAATGATCACTTCTCATTTCTTTAGTTTTCGACAAAAAGATCGATTATTAAAACTTAACGAATAAATGAATTTGTACATATAGTTTATGAAATTATTGAAAAAAATATATTCTTTTTACACTATAACGATTTTTATTAAACGATGTAATCATAAATCGCAATTTACCCTTTTACCAATTGAATGGCTTATATGTATTTGCATATGCTGCCCTTAATCGGTCAACTGACACTGTACAAACAAGCTTGTTTGAGATCAGTTAAGTTGCACTAGTTACGGTTGATGATGAAAATAAATAAAAAATAAATTGTTTCAAAAAATAGGGAGTAAAATAACAAGCATGAACGATGTACATACATATGTGAGAATATAGTTAAATTTAATTATGTAGTTTTAACACAGAATAAGGCGTTGTTGTTAAAATACATAAATATAAATGTACCAGCAGTTCGGAGTTCTTATATACATACATACATATGTTTAATAAATTTTAAAATAAAAATAAATCTAAA